AGTTCTCATCCCAGGCACTTGCTGTACTGAGGTCTTAACTTCAAGTCCACCTATCTACCATAATCTGCCATGTTTCCCACCATCCACAACCCAATATATGAGTACTCTTGATACCTGCTAAGAGCCAGTTCCATACAGGTAAGATCAAATCATCATTGCAAATACCTTCACTAATCACAAAGACTCTTTGGTGTAGTTATGGAAATATCACATCCAAGGCACTTTCTGTACTGAGGTCTTAATTTCAAGTCCAACTTGTAAATGTACAATGCTTACCATTATCCACAATCCAAAATATGAGTACTCTTGATAGCCAATGAGAACCAATTATTTACAGTTAAGACCAAATCATCCATGCAAACACCTTCACCAATCATAAAACCTCCTTGGTGTAGTTGGGGAGCTATCCTATCCCAGGCACTTGCTGTACTGAGGTCCTAACTTCAAGTCCAACCTATCTACCATAATCTAGCCACTGAGGACCAATTATTTACAGGTAAGACTAGATCATCCATGTAAACACCTTCACCAATCATAAAGCCTCCTTGGTGTAGTTGGGGAGTTCTCATCCCAGGCACTTGCTGTACTGAGGTCTTAACTTCAAGTCCAACCTATCTACCATAATCTGCCATGTTTCCCACCATCCACAACCCAATATATGAGTACTCTTGATACCTGCTAAGAGCCAGTTCCATACAGGTAAGATCAAATCATCATTGCAAATACCTTCACTAATCACAAAGCCTCTTTGGTGTAGTTATGGAAATATCACATCCAAGGCACTTTCTGTACTGAGGTCTTAATTTCAAGTCCAACTTGTAAATCCACAATGCTTACCATTATCCACAATCCAAAATATGAGTACTCTTGATAGCCACTGAGAACCAATTATTTACAGTTAAGACCAAATCATCCATGCAAACACCTTCACCAATCATAAAGCCTCCTTTTTGTAGTTGGGGAGTCATCCCATCCCAGGCACTTGCTGTACTGAGGTCTTAACTTCAAGTCCAATCTATCTACCATAATCTGCCATGTTTCCCACCATCCACAATCCAATATATGAATACTCTTGATACCTGCTAAGAGCCAATTTCATACAGGTAAGACCAAATCATCAATGCAAATACCTTCACTAATCACAAAGACTCTTTGGTGTAGTTATGGAAATATCACATCCAAGGCACTTTCTGTACTGAGGTCTTAATTTCAAGTCCAACTTGTAAATGTACAATGCTTACCATTATCCACAATTCAAAATATGAGTACTCTTGATAGCCACTGAGAACCAATTATTTACAGTTAAGACCAAATTATCCATGCAAACACCTTCACCAATCATAAAGCCTCCTTGGTGTAGTTGGGGAGTCATCCCATCCCAGGCACTTGCTGTACTGAGGTCTTAACTTCAAGTCCAACCTATCTACCATAATCTGCCATGTTTCCCACCATCCACAATCCAATATATGAGTACTTTTGATACCTGCTAAGAGCAAGTTCCATACAGGTAAGACCAAATCATCAATGCAAATACCTTCACTAATCAAAAAGCCTCTTTGGTGTAGTTATGGAAATATCACATCCAAGGCACTTTCTGTACTGAGGTCTTAATTTCAAGTCCAACTTGGAAGTCTACAATGCTTACCATTATCCACAATCCAAAATATGAGTACTCTTGATAGCCACTGAGGACCAATTATTTACAGGTAAGACCAGATCATCCATGCAAACAGAATCAAAACAAATGACGATAGCGAGCGCCAGCTGAGGTAGCAGCAATTGCACAAATAAAGGAATTACAAATCCTCTCTGCAAAATCACAAAAACATAACTGTAGTGCGGGGCATAGATATAGAAACAAGATGAAAATCACAGAAATTCACCAGAAGAAGTAATTAATTAATTTTTGTGAACCAATAAAAAAGTCTTAAAAATTGATAGATAAATGATGTGAAATAGTCATTTCAAATAGTTGAGGTTCCACAAAAGTGATTAATCTGGGAGTGGATACTTAGCCAAGGAAAATATAAACAATCCGGTGGTGTGTGTGATAATATAGCGAGATTGCAAACTCACCAGAAGCGCTAATGTAATGCACATTTATTGATGTAATTCGGCTTAGGGGACTCCCATCAAATGGAACAATGAGCCAATGAGGACCAACTATTTACAGGTAAGACCAAATCATCCATGCAAACACCTTCACCTTCAAGAACTCTTGATAGCTGATAAGGGCCAATTCATTACAGGTAAGACCAAATCATCCCTATAAACACATTCTCCCAATCACAAAGAGTCTTGTAATTGATGGTGTAATTGAGGAGCCATCCCAACCCAGGCACTAGGTGTACCAAGGTCTCAATTTCGAGTCCAGCTTGGAGATCTACCATGCTTCCCACAATCCATAATAAAATATATGACTACACTTGACAGCCAGACATCCACATTTCATATATATTTTTAGGTTGATTTACTAAAGGCTAATAGGCTGTTCAAGCAAAATAAACTTCCCTTTGAAAGGAAATATGCAAGTTAGCAAATAAGGTGAAGCTCTGCTGACTTCTGTCATCTAGGAAGTAAAATTACTGTTTTTTTTTTTTTTTTTTGGGGGGGGGGGAGGGGGTCCTCCACGTGACTGGGTATTGTTTACAAAGTGAATTTTTACCGTATTCACTAAGCTAAGAGAAAATTCCCTTTGCAAAGTAAACCTGTTCTATTCCTTTAGTGAATCAACCACAGTAAGTGCATATAGAAATTCTATAATTCTCCATTGCTTTACAGTGTGTGAGCAACAGCATAGTACATATAGCACCCTCCCAGTGTAGGATGCTAGAAAAAATTTTGTTTTTTTGGCTCCTCTGTAATCATTGGATTGGCTGCTAATATCTTTGGACTGTGTTGAATTTCACAGGCTTCAGGTGGGAGTGTTTCCCTCTCCATTCTGGAGGCTTCAAGAACATAGAGGGCTGAGAAAGTCAAATAGGCAGCCTGAATATTTATTGTGCTTCAGCCAATCCCTGGGGAGTTGTACCCAGTAGGTAGCTGGAGAGGAACATAGCTAGTTGAGGGCCTGAAGCAGCCCTCATCTAGCACTGCTGGTGAAGTTTCCAGCCTTAGGTGCTGTTGCCCCTTTGAGGCAGTCCTGCTGGAGTTGGTTGATGTTCATCAAGGTCCCTATGGTAGAGCTAGGGGGCTTATTCCTAATTTCCTCTGGAGCTAAGGATTTGGTCAGGAGAACTCACTGAGGAGTGTCTGGTGGAAGCTGGGAGGTGTCCAGCTGTCCAGGGATATCATGAATACTGACCCAAGCTCAAGATGTAATGACTGTGTTCTATCCTACTTCTGGAGTGCCAGCTGTAGCTCATTCTGAGACTGCTTCCATAGTGCAAAAAAAAAAAAAAGAAAATGCACAGGCGATCAAATACCACCGAACGAAAGCTCAATTTGAAGGAAAAAAAGGACGTAAATTTAATTTGGGTGCTGCGTTGCACGACCGCGCAACTGTCAGTTAATGTAACGCACTGCCGTAACGCAAAAAATGGCCTGGTCAGGAAGGGGGGAAATCCTCTGGAGGGTGAGGGGTTAAACTAAAACTATTAAACTGCCTAACTGTAGCCTCCCCAGCCGACTCAGTCATGCAGGCCCTACACTCATGCTCCGCATACAGCTCCTGGCCTTTTCTCAAATATCCCAGATACAATATTCTATAAAAAATATCTGCAGCAGGGGCGGACTGACCATTTGGAAACTCGGGCACTGTCCGAGGGCCCAGGGTCAGTAGGGGGCCCCATGAGATGCCCCTGGTACCTTTTTCTTAGGCTTTTTTGAGTTTGGGTAAGGACACAGGGGCCCCATGATCCCCTATTGCCCGGGGGCCCCATGAGTTGTCAGTCTGCCCTGGTGGCAGGTTTACCTCCCATTTGATGACACCTGCATAGTTCTCTGGTCAACACCACTTGGCAAAGCCATCTGCATGACACTAGTAAAATTTTTAGCTATCTGAAGGGTGGCAGTGCATTCTGACCACCACTGTGGAGAGGGGAATTCTTCCCATTGGCCACTAATGTTTGCCCAAAGCACAACAGGGCAGTGTGAAGCCAACCTTAGTTTAAGTTCACACCTATGCCCAGGGGCGGACTGACCATTTGGCCACTTGGGCACTGCCCGAGGGCCCGGGGTCAGCAGGGGGCACCATGAGATGCCCCTGGTACCTTTTTCATAGGCATTTTTGAGTTTGGGCAAGGACACAGGGGCCCCATGATCCCCTATTGCCCGGGGGCCCCATGAGTTTTCAGTCCACCCCTGATCTGCAGTGAAAACATAGGACTGCTTATTAGAAAAAGTATATGAAATTTGGAAGATATCTATGTTCCCCTAGGGCCCATCAGAGCTTTCCTTTAGTTCTCTAACCTGAACTAGAAATATGGCAGCTGGAATCTGATTGGTTGCTGCGGGCAAGAGAGAAACATTTCTTCTAAATACATTCATAAAGCGTATAACAGTATTTACCAAAGGCAGATCCGCTGAACTTCATTTACCGTCCTCTAGCTGCCCTCTGAATTTCAGAATGAACAATTATAAATCTACAAGCCCAGGGCATGGGAATCTACATATGCTATCTGACATTTAATGAACGACTTCACTTAATAGGGAACTATTGTTTTACATATTTATAAGCCATTCCTGTAGAGCCAAATATGAAGTTACACAATGGAAACATACAAGTATTCACATACTATATAAATGATTTTATTAACATTGAACTCCAGGCAATCAGAGGAAATGCACCAACCTATACAAAACACCATACATACAGATGATTTATATTTCTATCCATCCAGTCCCGACAATCATACAGCTTTACAGCTGACTCCTTTCCACTGGGGTTAAGCCACACAACTAGGTCAACTCCCCCCCAGACCCTGCATTCACTATATCCGGTCTCCCCGGACCCTGCATTCACTATATCTAATCTCCCCGGACCCTGCATTCACTATATCTGGTCTCCCCGGACCCTGCATTCACTATATCTGGTCTCCCCGGACCCTGCATTTACTATATTCGGTCTCCCCGGACCCTGCATTCACTATATTCGGTCTCCCCGGACCCCGCATTCACTATCCGCTCTCCCCGGTCCCTGCATTCACTATATCTGGTCTCCCCGAACCCTGCATTCACTATATCTGGTCTCCCCGGACCCTGCATTCACTATATCTGATCTCCCCGGACCCTGCATTCACTATATCTGGTCTCCCAGGACCCTGCATTCACTATAACTAGTCTCCCTGGACCCTGTATTCGCTATATCTGGTCTCCCTGGAACCCGCATTCACTATATCCGGTCTCCCCGGACCCTGCATTCACTATATCTGGTCTTTCAGGACCCCGCATTCACTATATCTGGTCTCCACGGACCCTGCATTCACTATATCTGGTCTCCCCGGACCCCGCATTCACTATATCTGGTCTCCCCGGACCCTGCATTCACTATATCTGGTCTCCCAGGACCCTGCATTCACTATATCTGGTCTCCCCGGACCCTGCATTCACTATATCTGGTCTCCCAGGACCCTGCATTCACTATATCCGCTCTCCCCAGACCCTGCATTCACTATATCCGCTCTCCCCTGACCCCGCATTCACTATATCTGGTCTCCCCAGACCCTGCATTCACTATATCCGCTCTCCCAGGACCCTGCATTCACTATATCCGCTCTCCCAGGACCCTGCATTCCTGCTCTGACTGTCCTATAAAGCTGCATAACCTCTGACCCCCTGTCTGAACAGCGCTGACTGGCCCTGTGCTAATCACATGCACTCTCCCATAGAAAAAAAAAAAAAATCTCTCGCAAACACAAAAAACTGAGCATGTGCAGAGTGACTCCCTAGAACTCTGTACTATCAGCAGATGGATTGGGGACAGTAGAAGAAGGGGAGGATCAGAGAAGACAGGATTAAACAGCCATTTTACACGGATTAACCCCTTAGGTTCCACAGTGGCTATAACAAGCATCCTTTACTGCATCGACAGACTGATTTTACTGTTGTGGGTTTAACAACACTTTAACTCTTAGTATGCCTGCAGTTTTTACAAAGTTGCTGAATTCCTGGAATTCAGCTTTAAAATGCATGCATATGGCTTTCCAGCATGCACACTATATACTCGTATCAGTCAGCTTTGGTAGCTGTGGATGGTGTCTGCTCTACACTGTAAAGGAGAATGTCTCCAGCACACGAGGATCTCCAATATGGGTCTAAAGGTTTTAATGAACGATCACATAGTTACAGTGAGGCAACGTTTCAGAGTCTCGCAGGACCCCTTCATCAGGCATCTAAAACTTTTGGACCCATATTGGAGATCCTCGTGTGCTGGAGACATTCTCCTTTACAGTGTAGAGCAGACACCATCCACAGCTCCAAAGCTTGATACGAGTCTTTCTGATTCTGTTCAGTTCCAGCCGCTGCAGCACCCACTTATACACACCGCCATTTTTACCGCAGGAACATGTGCGTTTGGATTGCACGCTTGCTCTACACTGTATAGGGAACTTTTTTTTAATGTTTTATTTTATTATATGAGCAGCTTTTATATTCAGCCGCTTTGTGTACATTGTTATTAATGGCTCTGAATGTGTCTCAGTGCAGTTCAGAAAATTTCATAGTGAACTACAAACCAACTACCCTTTTCCTAATTTGTTTAGAATTTACAGGTAATGTCTGCTCTTATCTATTTATTTATTTCAGGTACTTATATAGCGCCATCAATGTACGCAGCGCTTTACTTATATATTGTACATTCACATCAGTCCCTAACCTTCAAGGGGCGTACAATCTAAGGTCCCTAACCCTCACACAATCTCCCTAACTCACATTCATACATACACATACTAGGGACAATTTAGACAGGAGCCAATTAACCTACCAGCATGTCTTTGGAGTGTGAGAGGAAACCTGAGTACCCAGAGGAAACCCACACAGGCACAGGGAGAGCAGGCAGGTGGTGCTGTGGTTGGGATTTGAAGTAGTGACTCTAGTAATGCCAGGCTGGAGTGCTAACCATGGAGCCACTGTGCTCTTGGAGTCTTTACTCCATGAAGAACTGGATGATCTCGCTTTCTGCCCACTTATTTAACTAATTGGATCCTCAGTCCTTCTCAATCACCAGCACTGACTAATGGGGGCCATAGACAGGTCGAAAATCTGCAGATTTTTCGGCCGAAAAAAAAAAATTGGCCGATTTTCATACCATTAGTGGGTTAATTGGTCAGCCGCTTTTTGGGCTTTTTACATATTTTTTTTATCGGGCATGTTGGAAAATTTGCAGCCGATTTTGATGATCGGCTGATTTTCCTGGCAATGATGGGCAAATCGGCCAATCGTTTTACCAATAAAAAATCTGCTCATGAGCCGTGACCTGCAAGAAGAAGAAAAGAAGAAGAAGAAGAAAAAGAAGAAGAAGAAAAGAAGAAGAAAAAAAAAGAAGAAGAAGAAGAAGAAAAAAGAAGAAGAAGAATTCCATTCCTCTATTATATTTTATATGAAAATTCTTGCGGTTGCAACAAATGTATCTAGTTGTATCCGAATAAAAACATCTGTATCTGAAATGGATACAAATAGATACATTGTTGCAACCGCAATACTTTTCATGTAAAATATAATAGCGGAGCTCTCTGCAAGGGACAGAAGTAATTATGGGGTTAAATGCCGGCCATAGACGGGACGAAAATCTGCCAATTTTTTTTACCATTGGTGGTAACGTCGGCCGATCGAACGACCGATTTTTCGTTTTTGTTTTTTTTTTTAAAACGGGCGGTTTTCGACCTGTCTATGGCCTACATAAGTCCTCATCCACACAGGACGTTTTTACAGCGGCTGTTTTTGGCTTTTGACATTTTTTCTACAGCCAGTAAACCCCCCCAGCATGTCATCCTATGTGTCTACGTACACACAGACTGGAATCTACATTTTTTGACTGGAAAGAAAAAACAGGACTAGTGGGTTTCTAGAGGCGATTTTTTAGCTGTAAGCCCTCATTCACGCGGGACATTTTGATAGCACTGGTAACGTTAGCTGTGTGAAGTCACGTTAAAAACCTGCATTTTTTCAGGGTTTTTAGCATTTTTGCATTAGCGTTTAGTGGCGTTTTGCTGCGTTTAGCTGCATTTTCCCACGTTTTTCCACATTTGCGTTTTTTAGCATTTTTTTTTTACCAAAACAACACATAGGATAACACGCTGAGGGGTTTACTAGCTGTAAAAAAAAACTCATCAAAAGCCAAAAACAGCCTCTGTAAAAACTGGAGTATCTTCTAAATGGTGCATGTTAAGGAGATAATCATTTTACCTACAGTCCATTCTTCGATTCAGTACTCAAATCCTGAAAAGTGCACCGTATCTGGAGCTTCAGTGTTCTTGGATCTGCCCGGGTTTGGTCCCAGCCAGGGGCAGACTGACCATTTGGAAACTCGGGCACTGCCCGAGGGCCCGGGGTCAGTAGGGGGCCCCATGAGATGCCCCTGGTACCTTTTTCATAGGCTTTTTTGAGCTTGGGCAAGGATACAGGGGCCCCATGATCCCCTATTTCCCGGGCAACATGAGTTGTCAGTCCACCCCTGGTCCCAGCATCTTCTGCCTCTGCCCCTGCCCGCTGGCCAACCCACCACCCCTAAGGCTTTTGTATTCTTAGATATGCCGGGTCTAGTTCTGGCATCTTCTGGGTCTCCTGTCAGCTTGTGTCCCCACCTGGCTGGCCCACCAGCTTCAGTATAGTTAGATCTGCCAAGTATAGTCCCATATTTCGGCTTCTTTCCCCACCTTCAGTCCTACAGGTGGTGGGTGGGCTGGCCGGCAGGGACAGAAGCCCACAGTGGATGCAGGAAATGGGGGACTAGGGTCAGATCTAAGGATACTGAATGCTTACAGGTGGTGGTCCGGCCGGCCAGCGGGGGACACAAGCCGACAAAGTATGCAGTAAATGCTGGGACTAGACATGAGCAGATCTAAGGATAAAGCCTCACAGGGTGTGGGTAGGTCGGCGTTTGGGCACAGAAGCTGACAGCTCTGATCCTGTCCCTGAGATACAGGAGGGGCCGAAGCTCCCAACGTGCCCCCCTCAACACAGCGCCCAGGGCAGGTGCCCATTTGGCCCTCATCCGTGTCCTGGCCCTTGGCTTGAGAAACACAATATAATGATACTTGCACAAAAATGAGCTGCATGGCCGAGTTGCCAGAAAGAAACCTTTACTGCACCAATGCCACAAAAAAGCTTGGTGAGGCGTGTCAAGGTCCTGTCGGGCATATTGTAACCAAGCTTTTTTTTTTTTTTTACACAAGTGTAAATATATATACAGGCGTACCTCGGTTTACGAACACCTCGGTTAACGTAATTTAGGTTTACAAATGAAAATCCATTGAAACGAATGCCTTGGTTTACTAATTTTTTTCGCAATACGAACGGATTAATTGGTTTTCGATGCATTTATGAATCTTTTTTTATCATGTCCCTGTACAGTATTTAGGCCTTTAAAATTCACTTTATAAAACGTTTTGAACAGATAAGACATTTTTTTTTACTTTTTCCTGACCTCCGGAACGGATTAATTGGTTTTCTTCTTTTTTTTTTTTTACAAACGATTTTTATTTATTAAGAAATAGGCTGCAAAAACAGCTTAACAGTGTAAGATATAACATGCAAAAAAAAAAAAAGGCACATGGATTAATTGGTTTTCAATGCATTTACAAATTAATTTTTACTCATGTCCCTGTACAGTATTTATGCCTTTAAAGTGCATTTTATAAAGCGTTTTGAACAGATAAAAGACCTTTTTTCACATTTTTCTGACCTCCGGAACGGATTAATTGGTTTTCAATGCATTTGCGAATTAATTTTTAATCATGTCCCTGTACAGTATTTATGCCTTTAAAGTGCACTTTATAAAGAGTTTTGAACAGATAAAAATAATGTCTCGGCTTACAAATTTGTTTCGTAATACGAATGGATTAATTGGTTTTCGATGCATTTATGAATCTTTTTTCATCATGTCCCTGTACAGTATTTAGGCCTTTAAAGTTCACATTATAAAGAGTTTTGAACAGATAAGACTTTTTTTTACTTTTTTCTGACCACCGGATTAATGGATTAATTGGTTTTCAATGCATTCCTATGGGAAACCACGTTTCGGTTTCCAAATTTTTCACAATACGAAAAGTCCCGCAGAACACGTTAAATTCGTAAACCGAGGTACGCCTGTATATTTTTTAAAATTGTATTTTTAAAGGTGTCGTGGAATAACTTTTACTTAATTATCATCTGTAAAAAAAGAGCCAAAATGTCAATTCTGTGTGCGTTGACCCTTTTGGTTGACATTTTGAATTTGGTAACTAGGTTGCGGCAATTTTTCTTTTGAAGGTCCATCAAATTGATAAGAAATCTGCAAAGCCTATGAAAAAAAAAGTTTTCCTGTTTTGTGTCAGTGTTTATTCTTGATTGCAGTTCTAATCCCTGTTCTGTCATCATTCCTGACCCAATACCCTCTACCATAAAAACATCTCATGAAAGGAAGTGTGTCATTGTGTCAACAGTAAAAAAACAATCCATGGAATTCGAGGGACTTTAATACAATGTTACCCACGTTCCTGCTTTGTGAAAGTCATTTTATAAAGCTGTTGTTTTGAAAGACATGCTTTTTATATTACTACCAATGGATATCATAGTTACACATTTAATTGATGGTCCTCATGGATGCAAGGTTGCTGATCTATGAGCAGGGGCAGACTGACAACTCATGGGGCCCCTGGACAATAGGGGATCATGGGGCCCCTGTGTCCTTGCCCACAACTCAAAAAACCTATGAAAAAGGTACCAGGGGCATCTCATGGGGCCACCTACTGACCCCGGGCCCTCAATAGGGGATCATGGGGCCCCTGTGTCCTTGCCCAAACTCAAAAAAGCCTATGAAAAAGGTACCAGGGAAATCTCATGGGGCCCCCTACTGACCCCGGGCCCTCGGGCAGTGCCCGAGTTTCCAAATGGTCAGTCCGCCCCTACCTATGAGCATTATTCCTGCACCCCAGGCTCAGTGCAATGAGCAAAGAGCCTCCTGGGGCCTGTTGCCCCTTTGCAAAGTCCTTTGTCATAGTCAGGGTTTTTATTTCTCCCCCCCCTTCCAAGCCACCCCTCTCTCCTACCCACCTACGAGCACCATCCTTTAGTTCCACCCAGGGATGCTGTTAGAAACCATGGGGCCCATACAGCCAACCTGATAGGCCCCCCTACCCCCCCAAAATACCACCTCTCCAGAAAGCAGCTGGCCATCTCCAGAGCCAAGCCAAGTGTCTTTCTTCCTTGTGTCTTCCTTGTGCCGGAGTGTCAAACTAGCGGCCTTCCAGCTGTTGCGAAAACTACAAGTCCCATCATGCCTCTACCTTTGGGAGTCATGCTTGTAACTGTCAATCTTGCAATGACTCATGGGACTTGTAGTTTGGCAACAGCTGGAGGGCCGCCAGCTTGACAACCGTGGGTTACGGTTAGGGAGGGTGGGTGGTTGGCAGAGAGTGGCAGCTGTGGGGGTCAGGAGGCGCGGTAGTGGTTGGCAGATAGTGGTAGAGGGGGGGGGGGGGTTGCCCAATTTTGGTGTTGCCTAGGGCAGCACAAGAACTAAATATATAAACCCCAAAGAAGCTGCTAGCATTAAATCATTAAATTGGTTTATACATTTATTTATTTATTTTGGTTTAATTATTTTAAACACACATTTGGAGCGCAGGAGGGTCACACCACTATTGCTACAAGAACTAAATACCCCACTGCCGGTGAGGGGGCAAAAGCACATCCAACCCTTGACTTAGAACCTGGGTCTTGTCTGGAGGGGAGCAGAAACTGAGCACGGGTGGTGACTGCATGCAGACCATTGGTGATTTATAAGATGGAGATCTGTGAGCCCATGGATTGGACCGGTGGACGGAAGCACATTCAAGAATCATTCTTTTTAGACTTTTTTACTGGGACATTTATTTATTTATTGTGGTGTTGTGCAGCAGAGATTGCGCTACATCTTCTTATCACATACTGTAGTCACGGTGTTCATGAGCTGAGCTACAGAGATGTATGCAAATATGGGTAGCATTACCTTCCAATCACAGCCTGGGGGCGGGTACATGACAGCCTGTGCTCAGAAGAAGCAGACTGAAAGATGCTGGCTGTCCTTCACCCAGGAAGAATAAGGACATCTTGTGGTGGAAAAGAAGAACTGCAGGGCACAGCACCAGATTAAAGGTCAGCATTGCAGCAAAAGCTGTTGGTTTTTTATTTTTTATTTTTAACCAGTTCCTGGCTGAGCAATTGCGAAATGACAGCCGAGCGGGACTTTTGTTGATCCGGGTGGGTGTCATATGACGCCCTCCTGGATCGCCGCCTGCGCTGTGGCAGGGTCTGTCACTGGCCGTGTCCATCAGACACAGCCGGTGATTGATCTGTGTGCCCCTTGCCAGTACCATGTGACCGCTGTGACTGATCACAGCAGGTCACATGACAATTGTAAACAATGGATGGCTTCCTTTCATGCCATCCATTGTATACAGTTGTGTTGCCAGCTGTGTTTGGTCACAGTGATCATATGGTACAGACTGGGCCAATCACAGCCCATGTGTGTCATGTGATTAGTGGTGGCCAATCACAACAAAAACATGAATGAATGAATCGATTTAATTAGGTCAAATGCTTGCCTATAGCAATGAAATTCACTGCTATAAGCAATCATAACGAGTTAAAAAAAACAAAAAAAAATCAAAATCATCTCCCCAGAGTAGTACAATGTTACCATGGTAACATTATAGTACTCTGGTCACAGTGTTTTATTTAAAAAGAAAAATCGTAAAAAAGTAATAAAAAAAAAAAAAAAAAAAACTTGAAAAAATTATATATTTTTTTTTTTTTCATACCGTCACCACTCAGTGCCCCTGACCACCACCACACCAGTTACATAATGATGCTGGACTGCATTGGTGACAGTATTTAAAAAAAAATTGTGAAAAATTATTTTTTTAAAATTTATTTTAGTTTCTAAAAAATTCTAAAAAATATAAAAAAATTACAACTTATTTTTAGTTTCTAAAAAATATAAAAAAATTACAACTTAAAAAAACTTGTCATGCCTCTTACTAATTCCCGCAGACTGACTACTTCCCAAAAAGGTTTAATTTGGGGAATATCTGTACCGTCCATTTTTTGGCCCTCTAGAAATGAGATCGGCCGTCAGTACAGCAGGAATGATCGGTTTTCAGATATATCCCGTAGTTTGTGGACTCTGTAACTTTCCTACAGACTAAATAATATATACTGATTTGGGTTTGTTTCACCAAAGAAATGGAATACATGTTGACCTAAATTAATGAAGAAAGATTATTTATTTGCAATAATTTATAACAGAAACAAAGAAGCATTTTTTTTTTTAAAAAAAAAGGGATTTACTACACCATGAGAGGTCCCTCTATCTCTTTCCCTCTACAAGGGAGTTTTTATGCAGAGTCTCTTAAAGGCATTGGATTGTTGCCGGGACGCGGATCCATCCTATTCTTCA